ATTGTCTTCAATTCACTCAAAATCTTCCCGACCATCATTTCCACCAGCTCAGCTTCATGCCTTCCCACACATATGTGTAAAACCAAAAGTTAGATGTGCAGTTCGATCCCTTCATTTCTATACAAGTGCGCGATAAACAACAATGGATGTTTTCATGCCCTCTTGGGCGACTTTCTTTCACACCAAAACAGCGAACAGAACATAACATATACAGAAAACCAGATCCAGTCTCACATGATTAAATGAGATTACCTTGACGAAATCACAGAATTTGACCCACTACCCATATCTATAATGAACACGTTTCATATCCTTTTTAAGTGTAGTTCAGCTATTGACGACATATGATGGTTTCGATTGCTATTATAGGCTAAGTAGAACGGACACGCGACACGACACGACACGCGACACGTCATTTCTCAAAAATAGAGAATTCCGACACGTTAGAACATGTTGTATATTAAATATATATTTATATATATATGATAAATTATTATCTTTAAATTTGATTCAAATAAGTAAATAAATAATAATAAAAAGCCTAGAGTGAACTTACCCTAAAAAATTATACACATAAGTTTTCAAAAAATAATTATATATAAAAAAATATATTAGTTAAGAAACTAAAAGTAAATAATTAAATTTGAAAAAAGGAAAGTACAAGATAAAAAAAGCAGCCAGCCCACTTTCCTTTTCTTTCCCTAGATTTTCTCGTCTTTTGACTCTATCTCTCTATCTCTCATCACTGTATCAATCTCTCGCACTCTCTCTCTCTCTCTCTCCCTCCCTCTTCTCCGATCAGATCTCCGGCAGTTCTCGCCGCGAAAACTCCGATTCGCTCAGCTCGCTCATCCATGACGCTCGGCTCGGGAGGATCGTGGGTCGTTGGTGAGTTCTCAAAACCCTTCCCGACCTCGTTGTTCGACCTAGATTTCCATATCCTCCCTCCCCTGGGCAAATTCTCTCCCCCCATCCTGACCGATTCTCAGATCCCCCACCTCCCCGTTCCCCATTTCTCCGAGAGGATTGGTGGTGGGGTTCGCAGCATCTGAGCCTCGATTTGGCGAGCGAGAGACCTGACAAGAGGGGGCTTTTCTTTCTTCTATCTCCCTTTTGCTCCGGACTCGCGTGTCGCCGGCGTGTCCGGCGGGTTGACCGCGTGTCGGAGATCCGACACGCGTTGACTGCGTGTCGGCGGCGTGTCAGACCGTGTCGGACACGCGACACATGTCGGACACCGATTCGGAAGCACAAATAACGTGTCCGTGCTACTTAGATTATAGGTCAGGCAAGCGATTAAATACATACCCATCCACAACGGTCTGCGATGTCCATCCTCCAATCCTCGCTACAGAAGTCAGCGCTTCCCTCCAATTTGGCACTTCTTCTGAGCTGTACCTCATCCCATATTTACATAGATCCTCTCCAAATTTACCGCTTTGGCAACCTACATCAACATGATTCACCTTATAATATATAGGGAAGACGGGTTTGCCATGCTCTCTGTGGCAATTCATCATCTCGGTGAGCTCCTAATTACACCGTCTACTCTCCACAAACTGCTTGCAGATGATGGGGATCACGATCCTACTAGTCCTGATAGCCTGGATAAGCTCCTTTTCTATCGGCTAGCCAAATGGGAGCATGTCGTTGTCCCCGTACACAGAGACCACAGCAGCTACCAGACCTCTGTAGAGGAAGTTGGCGAAGCCGGTGCGAGTGTCTTGGCCTGGGAAGAAAAAGAACACATCGTAGATCTGAGGGACCGAGCTTGTTTTCCCCAGCAGGAATCTCTAAGCGGACACGTATAGTGGAAGAACAATTGCTAGGGCATGCCTTTTCTTCTTTGTTCGTAACATCCCTTTTCTCTTTCGGATCTAAGTATGTCATCTTTGAAGACTCAAAGTTAACGTTTTCCTCAGCGTGAAAACTTTGACTATGTTGCACCATTTTTGTCTTTTATTTCGTCTTCTTGACCATTCAATGTTTAAAATCAACTCGTCTTTTATCATTTCCTTATTAGCCTACAAGTTTGAACAAATGAGCACAGCGAAATAAAATCACTGTTGAATGATTATAACTGGTACAAGAATCAGGACAAGGCTGATCTCGACTTTTCTCAATGACATTATAACCACATGCCAAACATTGATCGCGATCACAAACTTGTTGATATGGTACATGCTAGGCCTGCTCTCCCAGAGGTAAGTCCAGCAGTTATCTGTTATATCGAAATGTGATGTAGTGAGTGCCAATACCTATTCCTACACCATATTCCTCAACCAACAACAGAGGCATCGATTTCTTACGTGATTGACGGCCATGTGTATGAATGACTCAACACCAACTTGATATTCAGGGCAAAACGTATCTGCGATCAACATCCAACTCCTATCCATGTCTATGTAAACATAAGGGTGAGTACTTTCAGTACTTTATATTACTAACACAAACTAGATATTCAGGGTAAAACGAATAGCAACAGTAATCCTAGGCAGGAAAAAGGAAATAGGGCACAGATCTCACCTCTAGGCGCAGCAAGCTTGACAAATGGAGGACGAGCTGCAAGGCTCTCACCTCTAGGCGCTGCCAGCTTGACAAACGGAGCTGCAAGGGTCGAGAATTGCAAGGATAGGAGATGAGAGAGATTTGTCAAAAACACGACGGTAAAGGAGAGACAGCCCTTACTTGAGTGAGGCGAGCAGTAGCGACAGGCGACATGAGGGAGAGTAAAGTAGCAGTAGGAAGGTGCGAGTGAAGGGTGCGCTCACTTGCCAGCAGACAGACTCTAATTGAGAGAGATAGAAAGGGGAAAAACAGAGCATGGACACGAACGTAGAGGAGGTGCTGGTGGTGGCAGTCAGCGAAGAGCGATGGTACGCCGACGGGCAGATATCTTACCTGTCGTCGCAGACAGCTTGGCAAACCACAAGCGGCGAGTGGCAAGGGGAGAGGACTGTGAGGATGGGAGCTGCAAGAGAGAGGAACTGAGATAGTGATTCGTCAAAAACGAGAATGTGAGGGAGAGACGAACCTTACCTTGAGACCGACTGAGCAAAGGCAAGCGGTAGCGAGCTGCAACAAGCGGTCACTGCGAGGCCCGGCAACGAGGGTGAAGGGCGACGGCACTGCGCTGCCATCGGGGAAAGGGGGAAAACCTAGAATGTCTAAGGTAGCAGGAAACATGAGCCATGAGCCACAGCACAGCGAATACTCCAAACCTTACAAAAGAGAGCTCAAGACTCGATCCCGATCTTCCGAAGGAGAGGCTGTGGCATGAGCTGGAGGCATCTAGGTTTAGGTTCGAGGAAGAGAAGGCGAGTGAATATTCGAAGAAAGTGAGTGGCGACTAGGGTTTAGTTTAAATGAGAGTACAGCAGTGAAATTTGGGAATTTGGGATTTAAAATAAGATTTGGGGGATTAGGGTTTAATTTTGAAAATTGAGAACACTTTGCCTACACCGTCCGACCCAACAATTGCAAATGCACTGGTGTCCTTTTAGCTTCTTTTCGGCTTCTCTTTTTCAAATGGGCCACCTCCTGGGCTTCAGTGGGCGAATTTCCTTGAACTTCTTCAGCTGAAAGAAAGAATAACAACGAAATCAAGATAGCAAGACACCCCCAGCTTGGAATGTCGGAATAAAAAGTTCGGACCATCTAGCATTGCCCTCTTGACAAAAGGAAAAGTTCATACTCAATCCTCAAGCACACCTCTGCACATATGCCTTCAAGATACCCTCAACTCCAATGTCACACAAAACTAGACCAGCCAGCTCCCTCATAACTAATAAGCCAAAACACAATATCTCTCACTCTGTCAAACCGGCCACCAAATTAATCCAATTCCGGCTCAACCCCCAAAATAGATAGATAATCAACTGAATAAATAATTCCAAGATTAAAATGACACAAACAGCGATTTCAGAAGAGGAAATAACAGAATTCACACACCTCTTGGTCCTATAGTAACAGAAACAACATCAGCTAATTTATCAATCCCAGATTGAAGAGCCTCTCTGCATTCCCCGCCAAAATACATCGTCGAACCTGCTTTTACCACAAAGTTTCCAATGTCCTGACCGTTTCTCCATAGACCCAATACCCTCCTATTTCCACTCAGATTCTGAACAGTGAACAGCTCTCAATTCTTCCATCTCAATCCAAAGAGTATAATTCGTAAAAGGGCATGAAGAAATTGAGGGAAAACAAAAGAAAACGGGGAACTTACCAGAAAGATCTGCTTCTGAGGGAGTATTGAAGGTGCTGTGAAGGAGACAGACATTCACAGGGCAGTTCTTCCAGGGTTTCTTCTAATTAATGGCAATAAACATGTACAACTTTTGCGACAAGTCACATTGAGATCGACATGCTAAATCCAGATCTAATCGTTGCCTTCTCTCTTCCTATGAAAAAATTTCTATTAAAAATCCCCTCTCAGCAACGTTAGCCAGGTATGAAGACGGCTTCTTTTTCCATGCGCGTATGATCAGATTTTAGTTTTAAAAAAGACGAAAAAAGCTATAAAAAAAAACGCGGAGATATCCTCTTCCGGTGATCCAGCACGTTGCAGTATATTTCAAGCTATGTCGATGCGAATTGCAACTGTTTTCCCATTTTCATTTTCTCCTCTTGTTTCACAAACGAGCAGAGCTTTCCACTAGTTATAGTAAGGAAGATGTACTAGACTTAATTAGAAAATCCTTTATAGCACCTTCAAACAACTAATTAAGCTGACTGGACTCTCTATAACAAAACCGACTTGTCAAATCCAAACACAAGACATCCTATCAATCGTGTCACATTGGAATCCAAAAACGACATGCTAATTAAACACATTACACAACATAATGTACGAAATATGCTTCTTAGCTCCAAAAGAAATCCTCGCGAGTCTTAACAAAAGTTACGTAAATTATAAACAATAAAGGATGACACTTTTGATTGTCGAGGAAAATCCTATTGTAAAAATAGGTCGAGTTGCTACTAACTCGAGGATAGAGTCAATATTCAGTGGATGGGGACGGGGGATCATGTGTTTGGGGATTGTTCAACAACCTTGAAACCTCCTCCACGACCTCTTTCACAAGTACCGCTTCGTGCCTGCAAATTGCCAAATAGAATTGAAGTAAGCTCTAAGTGGTATAAGTAGTTCTGTCCAGTTAAGGTTTTGGTGGGAATGATGAGAGTAAAGTACCCATTGGCAATATTCTCTGATACCCATCCTCTGGAGGACCCAACCTCCGCGACAGCTCGCTCCCACCGCTCATAAGTACTTTCGTCGACCATCTCCTTATGTCGAAGCATGTGCTTTACAAACAAATGCGATAAGTCTCGCACGTGCGACGTCTTCACTTTATAGAAGATGGGCAATATCGTTTGCCCCTTTGTTCTCTTGCATTCAACCATTTGAGCTAGGTCCTCGAGACACCATTGAGAGGACGCATAATTGCTTGAGAGAATTGGAATGGATATCTTGCAGTGGTCGATGGCATTGCGTATCTCATGAACACAATCTTTACCTATGAGGGACGGATCGTCATCATTAAAAACTTGGATTCCTTCGGCCACAAGACTGGTGTAGAGGAAAGCAGCAAGGTTATATCGAGTATCAGCACCACGGAGGCTCAAGAAGACTTGGCATTTACTTTGGCTTCTTCTTTTCTCCGATAAATAATGACTCACTGCAAGTGATGATGACCACGAATCAGGAGTAATTTTAAAAAGGCAAAGAAACCGGTCTAGTTGGGCGTGGCTTCTCTATGTTTAGAGAACGGATCAAATGGTACTGGAATATACCTGAGTCTATGAACATGGAAGACCGTTCGACCCAGCTCATCTCTAATTCGCTCAAAACCTTTGCGACAACCATTTTCACCAGCTTTCCTTCATGCCTGTACACACACACACACACACACACACACACACATTATGGATATAAAACAAAGTTAGACGTACAGATCATTCCCATCAAAGTGCACGGGTCAGATTCGTAGATACAGGAAGACATAAATACCCATTGGCAATGGCCTGTGACATCCATCCTCTAATCCTCGTTAGAGAACACAGCGCCTCTACCCATTCTTGCACTTCTTCTCGCCTGCCCTGCATCTCATGTTCACATAAAGCCTCTTCAAAGTCAGGCAAATTACCGCATTGGCGACCTAAATCAGCAACATTCACTTTATAGAATATAGGGAAGACTGATTTGCCGTGCTTTCTGCGGCAATCCATAATCTCGGTGAGCTCGCGGAGACACCGTTTACTATGCACAGAGCGTTCCGAGATGATGGGGATCACGATCCTACTAGTCCTGATGGCGTGGAGAACCTCTGGGCCAATCTGCTGATTGCCGACCGAGAAGGCGGCGTCATCTCTGAACACTTGCAGCCCAGCGGCTGATAGGCTTTTATAGAGGAAATCCGGGAAGCAGGTGTGACTATCTACGCCCCTGCAGTTCAAGAACACGTCGTACTTCGGGCGGACCATCCTTAATATTCCCTTGGCGCGCGCGCACGCAGCTTGCAATCGAGAAAGTGCATCCATTCTCTTTTTTGTTCGGAACTACCCTTCCTCTCTTGTCTCTCTTTTCTCCAATCAAAGTATGTTTCCTTCGATGCTTAATTTTCCTTCACCACACCATCATTGAACGCAAGCTGAGAAAGAGTTGTTGTACCAGCACCACCAATGGCAATCACACTGGTTGTTCTTTTGGCTCCGATCCGACAGGCTCGAGGGTGTGATCTGCTCCAAGAACGGCGAGGTTCCCAAGTCGGTGCAGCGAACCTTCCGAGAGCTCGATGCGTCGAAGGAGAGGCTGCGGCGCCAGCTGGAGCTAGGGTTCGAGGAGGAAGAGGAGAAGGCGAAGCGAAGGAAGCGGATGCGACTAGGGTTCAGTTTTTAAACGAGAGAAAAGCAATAATGGGTCCGACCCCACAGCCACAAAACTGAGAAGAGCAAATAATCGGTCCTTACCCCACAAAAACGGGAAAATTTCAATTGAGGATCCCAAGTGTTGTAAAATTCTTAAAAAAGGGATTCAAAGTGAATATTGTGTCAATTAAGAATCTGAAGTGCTCAATCAGTTTCAAATAAGGACTCAAAGTGCTCAAAAAGTCTCAAATAAGGACCTGAGTCCCCGGCCGGCCAAAATACCTGCCGGCCGGCGAGAGAAGTTACTGTTCCGATTCCGGAACAGTAACTTTTTAATTTTTTTATTATTTTATTTCTGTTTTTCCTTTTGTGTTTTTTCTCTTTTGCCTTTTCCTTTTCTTTTTTTTTTTCTTTTCTTCCTCCGCCGGCCATAGCCGGGGCCGGCGGAGGTCGCCTCGCCCGACAACTAGACTGTTTTCAATTAAGGATCCCAAGTGTTGTAAAATTCTCAAAAAAAGGATTCAAAGTGAACATTGTGTCAAATAAGGATCTGAAGTGCTCAACCAGTCTCAAATAAGGATCCGAAGTGCCCAAAAAGTCTCAAATAAGGACCTGAGTCCCCGGCCGGCCAAAATACCTGCCGGCCGGCGAGAAAGTTACTGTTCCGATACCGGAACAGTAACTTTTTAATTTTTTTATTATTTTCTTTCTGTTTTTCCTTTTGTGTTTGTTCTCTTTTGCCGTTTCCTTTTCTTTTTTTTTTTCTTTTCTTCCTCCGCCAGCCATAGCCGGGGCCGGCGGAGGTCGCCTCGCCCGACAACCAGACTGTTTTCAATTAAGGATCCCAAGTGTTGTAAAATTCTCAAAAAAGGGATTCAAAGTGAACATTGTGTCAAATAAGGATCCGAAGTGCTCAACCAGTCTCAAATAAGGACCCGAAGTGCCCAAAAAGTCTCAAATAAGGACCTGAGTCCCTGGCCGGCCAAAATACCTGCCGGCCGACGAGAAAGTTACTGTTCCGATACCGGAACAGTAACTTTTTAATTTTTTTATTATTTTCTTTCTGTTTTTCCTTTTGTGTTTTTTCTCTTTTGCCTTTTCCTTTTCCTTTTTTTTCCTTTCTTCCTCCGCCGGCCATAGCCGGGGCCGGCGGAGGTCGCCTCGCCCGACAACCAGACTGTTGTGGAGGAAAGAGGTGAAGCCGGTGCGAGTGTCTCCGTCTCTGAAGCTCAAGAACACGTCATAGTTGCGAGGGTCTTCTCTTGCTTTCTCCTGCAGGAATCTGAAAACATACACGGCCAGAAGGGCTAGTAGTAGAACAATTGCGAAGTCATACATTTTCTTCTTAGTTCGTAACTTGGCTTTCTCTTTTCAGATCTAACCATGTCTTCTTTCAAAGCTTTATCTTATTCAGGACTTGATGCTTTCAATATTCAAGTCAATGTTTTCGTCTACCTTGACAGATCTCAAAGGGGCCTCACCGTCAAAGTTGACTATATTGCACACTTTTCTTAGTTCGTCTTCTTTACTGTTTCAAAGGGTGTATATACTATTCTTCCCTAAAATTTGTGGCTTGTCATAATTTGACTTGGTTTAAATTTTTCCCGATCGTTCTGTTTAAAAGAAACAGCAATGATATGTGCAACTTTTGAGAGCAAAAATGAATATGCATAAGATAAGCTAACTGGACATATAATTATCCAAAAAGAATACCGTAGTGAGCTGGTTTTGGTGGCTAAAATGATTTTGCTAGTGATACTCCGATCATACTAAGTAGATTTTGATGGATACATTTTTACAGGTGGTAGTGATTTTCCGAATGGGTTGGTAATTTCTTTAGTAAATTCAAAATCGTTTCATTAGTAACTTCGTAAATGTCCTAACGACTCATGGATTATTTAAAATCGTCCATTGGGCAAGTTAATATTCAATCAAAACAACTATAGCTCACCAACCTTAGTAACATTCTGTAACTTCATCAATAAGTATTCTTTTTCTTAACTGTGAGACATTGAAATCAGCCCTCCCACATTATCTTTGTTTCGTGCTACATAATTAATTATTGCCATAAAAGAAATGCTTGCACGTCCCCTAATTGCATAATGGTGATTATAATATATAGTGCATTAGAGTTCAATGAATAATGCCATGACCTTTGCATTACCCATTGTTTCGAGCCGGTACGACCGCTCCCGCATTGGCAGCTTCCTCCGTAGTCACCGAGAACACGAGAAGTTCGCCGACTAGACATGTCTGTGAAGTCCATGTAGGAGACGCCGGTACCGATGAGGGTGTACAGCAAGATCCCCACCCAGGGAGTGCCAAACAATTTAGACCGTGCGGCAAAACACTCGGGCGGGATCCCGATATCCGCCATGCCAAAGACCCGGTCAGCGCTGTTGTTGAGCTGGGCCTCGAAAAGCCGGATCGTCGACAGCACTGCGCCAACCTCGATCTAAATCTTAAGCCACTCACCGGCGATCATCTCGACCACAATGATGTGGAGCCACTTGCTCTGGACCACGGTGGACAGAGTAATCAAATAAGAGACACTAGGAAAATCACCGCCACAACCAGGGCTAATGGGAAATTCCCCCGTGGCCGCCCCGTTGGTATTTTGATGAATGGAATTTGCTCATGAGGAGAGCGGATAGGCTGAAAATATTGGTTTTCAAAAGACAGTACTTGAAGGGGACCGTAAAGTTTCCTCGGGGATCCAAGACGAATGAAAGAGATAAGGTAAAAATCATTCAACTTATGCATATGGACTTCCTTGAAATGGTTCAATTGTGCTGTAAAACGAGTCGCACATGCTGGCTCTCGTTAGCGAAAACTCTACTTAGAATAGAAGCAATGACAGCAAGCACATGCCAGAAGACAAAACTAGCAAATATTGTTCCGTTAAACCTAATGAAAGAAGTTTGGGAATCACATCAAAAATTTAAAAATTCAAGTATCATATCGTGTATCGAGATAAAGTTGATGGACTATTTGTGATATTTTCCCAATAATTAACTTTACGTGGCGGGGTAGAGATGATTTCGGGTTTGTCAAACGATCAGGGTTGGTTCCTTTTCCTTTCCTTCCTTGCCGACCGGGTGACTTCATCACGTACCAACCGCGTTGAGGTAATCGGTTCTCACGCCTTACGTTTCTGTTGACTTTTCTCGCTTCCGCAAATGAAAATTTCCCTCTTCTAGAGATCCAAGAACAAAGCAAAAAAGCACACAAAAAGCACAAAAAGCAAAACGAGGCTTCTGCTAAAAAAATTTGACATAAAAAGGTATTATGGGCCGTTTGGCAAGTTACCAAACAGTGAAAATTTCTATTTTTTTGCTCCTAGAATTAGTTTGGGAACAGAAATCCGTTTGTTAAATTTTTTATTCCCAGGCACAAATTTGCAAAAAATTGTTCCGAGAATCAATTTTAGAACAGAATCAAGAAGTAAAAAAAAGTAGCTTCTTGATTCTGAGAATAATTTTTCCATTTTTGATTCTTCTTGATTTTCTTCTTCCTTCTTGGTTTGTTCTTCTTCTTCTTCCTGGCCTGCCGTCGGCCACAGGCCAGGGCCAGCGAGGGTGTCGCGGCACTCGCCGCCTGGGCGAGGGCGGCTCGCGGCCGCGAAGGCGAGGTCGAGCCTTGCCCAGCCAAGGCGAGGCCGACCTCGCCGTCGCAACCGGCGAGGGCTGCGACGCTCTTGCCGACCTTGGCCTGTGGCCGGTCGCCGGCGCTGGCGATCAGTCATGGCCAAGGAAGGGAAGGGAAAGAAAGACAAAAAAAAGAAATATTAAAAAATTCAAAATATTATTAATAAAAAGAAATTTTGTGTAGTTACCAAACGCATTTATATTCTTTTAAAATTCCAAGAATAGAAATTTTGGGTAGTTACCAAATGCCGTCAAATGCTTAAAAATTGTTCTCGGGCACGGAATAAAAAAGAATCATTTCTGAGTAGAATCAGTTTCCGGGTACAGAATCATTGCCATGCGCACCCTAATTGTTTTAATCCTGAAAAGAAAAAGGATGATCCATGTTGACACTTAAATTTTAGCTAACCATTTAATAATTAATTGCATAGAGAATTATGGATTAAATTTTAACCCCTAAACAATAATATTAAAATTGCATAGCATATAGACTAGGTTCATATAAGTTAATTCAATTTCACATTGAATCGGCGGAGGATGGACTTAAATGGATGGCTCTGAACTTAATAAAATTAGACCAAGCCCATTGAAGAATATATAGCCAAAATTTTAGTTATGTGTGCCAAGTTGATAAATTGGTCTTTAATTATAGGTGGTATATCCTAGGGTTTTCATGGGAAAAGACAGAACCCAATTTCCTTCCAAGAATGTCTAGAATATATTGTATTTTATCCTTTCCTTTTTTCAACCCTTTCTTTGTTGACCAAATTTTTGTACGCAATCCACAGAATCAATTTTGCCCTCTTTCTTTATATTCACTTCCTCGTATGCACGTACAAATTCCACGAAGATTATTTCCGATTATTCATTATGTGAATAATTTAGGGCGCGTTTGATAACGTTTTTATTTCTGGGAACAATTTTTTTTCAGAAATAGTTTTTTCTATTTCTATTTCCTGGATGAGTTTTTGAGCAAAAGAATGCGTTTGGTAACTGCATAAAATTTCTATTCCTAGAATAAAAAAA